AAGGGAAACGTTTTATTAAAAGACCAAACAATGATGTGAGATTCAAAGTTTGTGAACAATATTTTGCTGATAATTTTTCGACAATAGGAGTAAATATATGAAAGTACGGACAACAGTAAAACAAACTGCCGATGCTCTAAAAACGCAAGTTACTAGTCATGAGGAAAACAAACATGTGGGGGGCTTCTCCTTACATTCACAGAAGCAAGCCGAAATGTATTTTACATGTATATCTGTTTTCGCCATCCAAATTTCGAACGCTGATACCTTCCGATAATTAGGAATCATGACACGTTAATAGAAGAGCCGGTTGGTTTTCATCAATTGACTGAGATAGAATGGACTGGGTTGTCGATGCTCAATTGCTGATTTGTCTGTTAGATAAGATAAATTTTAGTTCATTTGTATAGTTCCGGTGTCGTGATGACAAGCTGAAATTCTCACAGCTGAATTTAAATAAGGCAGTATATTTTTTTTAACGAAGATTTTCAGATCGTCCATTTGAACATTACCAACACATGCTCTATGACGATACTTTAAACTAATTGTGAATGCGTATTTTTAAGTTAAATATATATGGTTATCAGGTCAGTCTCAAACGATGAAAAATCCTCCAAACAGTTGTAGAGCTTCAGTAGTGTTCAATTGTTTGTTTATAAGTACAGCTAATAAGGTTATTCGCATAACACGTTTCATGAGGTGACCAACCAAGAGAGTCCTCCTTCGATCAATTCGTAAATGTGAGGGTGAACAGACAACAATTGCAGATAAGAGCAATGCACAATAAGCTTGGAGGTCATAACTGCAAAGAAACGTTCTGATGATACACGGTAAATAAATGTTGTTCGATTAGATTGCCAGGAGAACAAAAGTGAAATAACAAATGAGATATACGTTTACACATCTCAACTAACAACATAGCCTGATTGCAAGTCGTAAGTCAGTAATGACTGATATGTATTAGCAGAAATTAAAACTGAAGAAAGAATCGAATAAGTCGGAAATCATGGTAAACAGATAAGGCAGAATTATTACTGAATGCTTACTAGTTTGCCACAACCTGGATTGATACCAATTTTACGACTTGTATTCTAAATTGACACAGTGCTAATTGGAATTCTTCGTATTTAAAAAACATAAATAGATGACTAATGTATCGCGCAGAAATATTTGTAAAGTTGAAACTTTTATAACACAATTTAATTATGTAGCACGCAGAAATATTTCTAAAAGTTCACAATTTCATGACACGATATGCATTGTTTTCATGTTAATTTTGTATATAAGCAGCTTATATTGATAGGCTTAGTTGGCATTTTTCATACAACTGGAGTAATATGTTGCTTTCACTATTATCCAAACGGCAGAAAATTGTTGTTCTTGTAATCAGTGTAACCTGTGTAGCGGTTGTTGGAATAGCACTGCTCGTACATTTCTTAAAGAGAAATTCTTATGGTATGTTTACACACATATTCATTATAGTTATCTGATTATGTTCTTAATTTTGGTAGCTATTCTATGGCATGACATTTTATATGAGAATAATTTTGATTGTGTCCTTAGGCATTAGTTTATTATGGGGATATTTGCTTCCTCTTAATGAATGTTTCTTGTATATTCGAAGATCTAGCTAACAGAGTTTGTTGAACTAAGTTGAACCACCTCGATTACATTATCACTTTTTATTAGGAAGTGCTATAATATTTGATTGTGAAGTTATCTTTTGGTTCACATGGTCCATGAATTTATGAGTAATCAGTACTTACACGAATGTTCGAGTTTAGATTTTAGAAAACCATGATTCCCCGTTTTGACTGACGAAGCGGAAATCAAAGAAGATATGTGCTTCGACATGCTCACAACACGTGTCCATTTGTTAGAATACGTTTCAAACGCAATGATGGTGGCCAGTAAAGAAAGAACTTTCATTCGGGAAATTTCACCGATTATTTAGAACTAAGTAGTGACAGCTACACTGTAAACGTATGCTGAATAACAGATTAATAGAAATGAAAGAAATCGTTATATTCACGCCGTTTAGTACTCGAAATTGGAAGAAGAATAACCGTGAGGTGAATTAAGATCTTCGAAACTGTTACAATTGGGAATATATCAACTGTGATACACGAAAACCATAGACAACGTTACACTCATTACATATACATATATTGTACACAAATTTTGACTACTTAATAAATGTGAACTATAAGAGACAAAATGTTTAAATACGATTCGATGGAATTCATATAATGAGTAAGAATGAGATTGAAGAAAGCTGTTTGGCACATATTTGTCAGTGCGAATCTATGTTAACTAAAACTGGGACAGTCACGTAATATGCATTTATTTCCATAAAACAGTGTATTCATGGCTTGATAAATATACATTACCACAGCGAAATATCGCCCAATTGTAATTTCCAAGTCACTAACAGTAAGGCGGCAACAGAAAATGAAAAATATTGATAATAATAATGAGATTTAAAAACACCAATAGATGTAGAACGATCTCAAGAAAGGTGGAAAATTGACCTAGTATTAAAGTGACATCTATTTATATAAGGTTAAGAAAGAATAATATTGTGAAATAACAAAAGAACAACCTAAATGTCGGTCGCGACTTACCAAATTAACGAACATTGATGAGTAAATAATCAACGCAAGTAGAAATCAAACAAAATTGTAAAGCAAACAGAGAGAAAGTAAAATAAAAAAATCTTAAATAAAAAATAGCACCCCGAATAGGAAAAGCATTATAACTGACGCACAACTTCATGCATGATGATGAGGGTTGGAACGAAGTGTCTGTGTCACCTCTCTGTAAATGGACTCATTATTTGTTTATACCTCATTCACATTTCCTTCACAGAACAAGCCTCGTCGCCACTCACCAGTGAAACTTCATCTGGAGTTGAACGAGCAACGGAAACAGGTAAGCGTGTGAAATGGATTTTTGAGAGCTTTACCCTTAATATTTACACTTTGATTATCCGAGTGGATGACAAATGATTGGATACACGTCGACATGTCTGTCATCGTGATGTTTCCGTCTTACTATGTGTGGTTCAATGACATTAGTTGGCGTCAACTATGATGGTTTGGTGGTGGTTGTTTGTGAATTGATCGACTTCACAATATTATGGTCTATTCGACTGCACCTCTCGATCACATGTAACTCTCATGTTGTCATTGAAAGCGATGTTGATTGTTCGTGTGTTTCGGAGAGTGTGGAATTCAATTTATTGCGTGTGACTGTGATGTGCCTTAGTAGGTACTGACGGTCTTCTCTAATATCTGTATTGACACTTGTGGTGAATCAGCCTTTGTGTTTTGTCCATGAGATTCACATGTGAACTGTGTCACAGATATCTTCCAGTTGCTCCTCTCACTCTCAAATGCTCAAGCATTGTTCGAAAAGATATCATTGTCAGATATGTGGTCTGTTATTATGGTAAACGTCGACCACATATCATCTTGTGGAACTTTTTCATTGCAAAAATAATTGATAGGGCTTCTTTCTCAGTCCGACTATAGTTCCTTTCGGTCGTTGTCAAAGATCTGGCAGCGTGTGCGATAGCTTTTTCAGATCCATAAGGAAAAATGTGAGAGATGACTGCGCCCACACCATTGTTAGAAGCATCTGAAGCAACGACTATGGGCAGCGAAGCATTATAATGCGTCAATAGGAGATTGGAAGTCAGGAGTTGCTTGATTTTCTCGAAAGGCGCTTGGCAGTCTGCAGACCAATTCCATCTTGTATTCTTTTGTAGTAGGTTGTTTAGTGGGGCACGTAGACGATGGAGATCGGGGATGAAGGTACAATAATGGCTAACTAATCCCAAGAACGATCGTATGGTAGTAAAGTCCCTGGGTCTAGGCATTGTTTTCACTGCTTCAATGTTTTCTGAATCTGGTCGTCTTCCGTCTTTATCTATTATGAACCCAAGGTACCGTACTTGCTGCATATAGGAGTCACACTTTTCCGCTCGGAGGCGAAAACCATAATCGGCTATGCGTTCTAGTACCTGGTCCAGTTTCTTCTACGGGTCCATTTTGTCTACTGCCATAATTATGATGTCGTCTAAGTAAGCTGCTGCCCATGGAATACCTTGTAACATGGTATCCATAATTTGCTGGAAAATAGAGGGCGCTGTCTTCACCCCAAAACGTGGTCGGTTATACCGAAACAGACCTTTGTGTGTGTTGGTCGTTAAGAGATCTGTGCTTTCATCAGATACAGGGATTTGTAGGTATGCGTCTGATAAGTCCAATTTCGCAAAATATCTGCCACCATTCAGCTTAGCGAAAAGATCTTCTGGTGAGAGTAACGGATACTGGTGGGACTCTAGAGCTTCATTTAATCCCGTGGAGTAGTCTGCACATAGACGGACACTTCCATTCAACTTCTTGACTACCACTATTGGTGCAGCCCAATTCGAGAAGTTTACAGGCTCGATAACACCCATTTGATGAAGTCGTTGTAATTCTTGTTCAACTATTGGAAGAGCAGCATAGGGTACAAGTCTTTTAGGTCGAAAAACGGGAGTAACTGCAGGTTTTAGGGTTAACACTGCTTTGGCCTTCGTAAATTCCCCCAATCCTTCTTTACACACGTTTTGGTGTCTTTGTAGCATGGCATTTTTCTGGCTCCACTCTGAGGTGTTGTCATTACTAACACGTCTGCAGATACTGTTGATAGAATAGTCTGCTGGTTTAAGTGTTTCTATAAGATCTAACCCCGTTAAGTCGAGTGCTGGCTTCTTTGTAAGATGTACTGTTGCATTTGTTGTTACAGTACCTTTAGAAACAGTGCATGGCACATCTCCAACAATATTTAACTTCCCCCCAGATGCACTGTGTGCCAGTCGTGTTGTTGGGAAAACTGTGAGTCTTCCAATGTTCTTCCATGTTTCTGGGCTGATTAGAGTAATATCAGAAGCTGTATCAGGCTAAAGGCGAGTACGTTGTTTGTTAATATTCAAGGTTACGTACTTTCTTTGGCGGCAACTTCGTGCTTTGTCATATGATACCAATATTCTGTTGGTTGGAGCACTATATCTGTTTTTCTTTGAGTAAGATTTCAAAGGAATGTTGTTTATAGTTTTTTCTCCTGCAGAGGTTTTCTTTATGCCCCTTCCGATGACATTTACTACAACGATGTTTTTTATATGGGCAGAACCTTTTGTAGTGCCAACCTCCACATGCCCAGCATGGAGATGATGGTTTGTCGCTGTTATTACGATAATTATGTGTGCTGGAAACTTGATAGACTTTTTTCTTGACTGCATTAACGTTGTGGAAACGGTTACCGTTTCCTAACATTGAGATTTCATGCTTCAAGTTTACTAACCTTTGACACTCTGTAGTCACTCCCTGTAGGGTCATGTTAGGGCAGTGTTCGAGTTTGCTTGGGATTCTGGTTCGGATATCGGCATCCTCGGGTTAACGCAGGCTACAGGTAAATACTAAGCATTTAAACTGATCTGCAGACATGGACGACAATCTGAACCTCTCACATTCTCGGTTCACAGTTCTTGCATGCTTCACCCAGTCATCTCCTGATTCTTTCGTTAACTTTAAGCACTGTTAACGGATATTGAATAGAGATGATTCATCTCCGAAGATTTGAGACATTGTTTTGACTGTATCATCAGAACTGGTAAATTAACAACAGTTCGTGACGATTCTCTCATTATCATGAACCTCGTTGATAATCCTGATCTTCCTCTCAGTCTGCAAGACAAAAACGACAGGATGCTGTGGGGTGAATTGAACAAGAAGCTCGAACTTCCTAGAATAGAGCCTTTGACGGTCATCCGACTCACTCGAGGAAAGGATTCTAAGCATCTAAATCACCCGAGGCTTCTCCGAGTAACACTTAAGAATGCTACCGACGTAGAGGACGTCTTGCTAGCAAGTCACTTGCTGAAATCAGATGGTAACGTAAGAATATTGCCCGACATACCGTACTCTGAGCGCAATATCATACGAAACGTCCCTAAAGAATCTCGCGAGAAGTTTTTCCGCGGAAGAAACATAATTGTCCAAGGTATACCGGAAAATGCAGACCCTACTCAATCAAATTCTGACATCAGGGAATGGAAATTCATCAAACAGTCCTTGAGGCTCAAACACATACTGACTCAGCATGTGACGAGACTAGCCAAGAAGGACGGTGATCTTAGACCCCGTCTAATGAAGATAACCTTCCCATCTTCCCACATGGCGGCTGCAGTTCTGGAAGCATTTCGTGCTAATAGACATCGATTGCCACCTGGAATCCACATGCACCCGGATAGGCCATACGAAGTTAGGACCAAGAACAAAGGCAAGTTGGAGCTGACCATTCCACTTGTGGACTGTCTAAACGATAAAAAAACGTGTAAAGGACAGGGCCTACCACCTCGGCAAACCTCATATAGGTGGGCTACCTGTCCATTCACATAAGGTTCATACAGAAAAACAGGACGAAGCTCACGCGTTCCAAATTGAAAGCATAAACTGCTTATATATGAACGCCGCGAGTCTACCAAACAAACTGGATGAACTACGTGAACTTAGCAACGCTAATAAGGCCCATCTGATAGGAATATCTGAAACCTGGATATCTTCTCAGTTCTCGGACCAAGAGTTAGCATTACCTGGGATGACTTTGTTCCGCAACGACAGAAAAACAGGAATTGGGGGCGGAGTAGCCATATACATAAGCTCTTGCTTGGAGGTGCACCAGATTCACAACCTCGAGTTTAACAATCTTGAGGAATCCATATGGTGCTCTGTAAGATTGTCTAGTACTTCCAGGTGTCTAGTCGGAGTCATTTACAGGAAGCCAACTGCCGACATTGAGTACGATAGTCGTATGCTGGAAGGGCCATTCCGCTCTACCCGTCTCGGTTTCACACACATCCTGATTCTAGGGGACTTTATTCTCCCTAGAGTCAACTTCGCGGAACACACGTACACTGGAGGCGACAACTCAACTGAAGCTCGGTTCTTCAACCTCATCGATAACTTGGGCTTATATGAAAATGTGAGGTCGGCAACTCGTTGGAGAAACAGTCAGACACCATCGCGCTTAGACTGTGTATTCACTAACGAAGAATTCCTAGTCGACAACCTCTCAATCCTGGCTCCTCTGGGAAAGAGCGATCATGCCGTCATAGCCTTCAGTTTTGTCATCAAAACTAAGCTAAGGTATCCCAACAATAATTTGCGTTGGAATTTTAAACGGCTGAATGTGCCAGCTCTACATGACTATCTACAACAGGTGGTTTGGGATGTTCACCCTCAACTCGATGTGGATGGTCATTGGGACTTCTTACTGCACACGCTCTTATGTGCTACAGACCATTCAGTTCCTCAAACGGTTCCCAAAACCTGCAAGCCACCTACAATAATCAAGAACCGTACCCTTCGCCTGCTAAGCCGCAAAAGGCACTGTTGGGCGGAATACAAACAAACTAATAATGATGGAGCGTATAGGCAATATAAACATATCAGGAACATATGCACGAAGGCTATAAGAGAAGACAGGCTTCAGTACCAAACAAAGCTTATGGACAAATTCGCCTCTAACCCTAGAAGCCTATTCCGTTATGCAGCCTCTCTTCGTCAAGCCAAAACAGGAGTTTCTCAACTGCTAGGTCTTAACGGCCCGACCAACAATGATGGCGACGCCGCTAACCTTCTGGCGGCACATTACTCTCAAACATTTAAACCGGCTGACATCAACTTTACTGACGACAGTTTCATCTGCAATTCCACAGGACTTTCTGAAGTGGACCTAAGCGCTGACTTGGTGTCCCAGAAATTGCAGCACTTAAGACTTGACACTTCTCCTGGCCCGGATATGGTTCATCCTGCCATACTGAGGGAGGCAGCCTCATTCCTGGCAACGCCGCTTAGCGTGATGTTTTCACACTCGCTTAGCCGAGGCAAATTACCGGAAAATTGGAAGTTGGCTCACATCACACCAATTTTCAAAGGTGGTCGACGCAATGAACCTTCAAGTTATCGGCCGGTGGCTCTTCTGTCATTACCTTCAAAACTCATGGAGTCCCTGATATGCGACGGTTTAAATGACTATCTACTGTCCTTAAATTTCTCCTCACCTCAACAGCGTGGTTTCAGGAAGGGTTACTCTTGTATAACCAACCTGCTGACTGCGGTGGACAGATGGACAAGCATCCTCGATTGCAAGGGAAAGGTTGATGTCATTTACCTTGATTTCTCAAAAGCTTTTGATAAGGTTAACCACTTGTGTCTTATCAACAAGCTCAAACGACTAGGTATCAAACCACCTCTAATCGATTGGCTTACTTCATACCTAAAAAATCGACACTTTAAGGTTAGGGTTAATTTCACTTTATCTCAGGCTATGGAATATCCTAGTGAGGTCCCACAGGGCTCAGTACTAGGGCCTCTTCTCTTCTTGATCTACATAAATGATCTTCCTCAACAGGTAACGTCAGACTTATTACTTTTTGCCGACGACGTGAAAATTTGGAGAGAGATACGCAACCAAGACGATACACAGGCACTTCAGGAGGATCTGACGCGACTTCAAAGTTGGGCAGACGATAACGGACTTACCTTTAACACTTCAAAGTGTAAAGTAGTCCATCTGCGACATGTCGCAAACTACAGTTACAACTTAGGAAACTCCTCTCTAGTAGTATCCCAAGTCGAAAAAGATTTAGGAGTCCTGGTGCCCCATGACTTAAAGTCTTACGCTAACTGTGACAAAAATGCCTTCCGAGCAAACCTTGCACTGGTAACGTTGAGGCGCATTTTTGGCCAGTTTGACGGAAGAACTTTCCATATAATCTTCAATAGTTTCATCCGTCCCCATTTAGAGTACGGAAACATAGTACTCCCCCCCTCACTCCAAAAGGACAAGGTCACTTTGGAGCGTATCCAACGGCGACTTGACCTATTCTTAAGAACCAAGGACAGCATCACACTATGATTTACCAATTTATTTTCCTCTTTTATTGTTAACATACCTAGGTTCCTGCCTGGAGGATTTGGTGATCCCCTGCTACTAGACACGGAAGCCTGTTAAGCGAAAGCTTCTTCTATTCCGTCCACAACCATTTGAACCATTTGAACTAAAATCTCGTGGATTCTTCGGAAGAATGAAGTTGCTATAGCGTTCATGTTCCATAGTCCCAAGTTTTCTCAGAAGTATTCTGACTTTTGAAGCATCATCCAGTTTGCATAGATCAATATAAAACAGATCTTCATACATCTTAAACCACGACTCGAAAGTTACACCTTCTACACCATCAAAATTAAATTCATGGATGGCGTTAATGACTGAATCATTATGTGATGCTTGAGATTCACTAGAAGTAGGGTTTCTTTGGGACAGGCAGAATTTCTGCATCAGAGTTCCCATGATTCTAATTTGGGACTCTTCAAACCTTTTTTCTTGACACACCATATAGGCTTCTAATTGCTTCAAGGAAATATTCATTGTAGTTTTCCTGTCGCCACTGATAAGTCTTGTCGAACGAACGCTATATTCGTTTTATTAAATTATTTTATACGCGTTGTCTAGAACCAGTGAGCTTCTTGAACACCAGAGATAATACAGAAATTTGAGAGCAAGTACGTTATCCGAAGTTTCATTTTTGTACAGGTAATCATATATATATTTATTGTTGTTGGCATCTGTTAAATCAACTTCATACTTCAGTCAATCCGTGTCATCTATCGGAGCCCAATCTGCTTAGCTGATGACTTTGTTTTAGAGCACATTCATCTTTGGAGTGATAATACCAGGTGCTTGATAATAGGAGACTTTAACGCACCTGATATTAGTTGGACTGATATGACCACAGAAGGATCTATAAACTCCTTTGATAGTAGGTTACTGATAACAATAATAGAGCATGCACTAGTGCAGCATGTATCTCAACCCACACGTTTTGGTGTTAACCAGGGTTCTTCTCTGCTGGATTTGGTAATCACTCATGAGACTGAGGATATTGTCGACTTAAATATTCTTCCACCGTTAGTAAACAGCGATCACGCTGTTTTGTCATTCGCGTTTAGAACTAGGGACATGTTATACGATCAGGTTACACCGCGCCCAAATGTATGGAAAGCTAACATATCAGCCATTCAGGAATGCGCTGCTAAGACAGATTGGTTAGTAGATACTAGCATATCAGTTGAAGAAGCATGGTCTGTATTTAAAGGTAAATTTAGACTAGTTACGTCCCCGTTCATACCATACCTGGTACCGCGAAGACCGAATAATAGTCCACCATGGATAACTAAAACGGTCAGGAAACTCCTTAGAAAAAGGAAGAATCACTGGAATATGTTCATCTCTACTGGCTTAGAACAATACAGATCCAGTTATTGTAAGATTAGGAATGCCTGTAAAGCGTTAATAAGCAAGACTAGACATTCATACGAAAAAAATTGGTTAGGGATTCTAGATATACTCCGAAACGGCTATTCTCGTATATAAAAAGGCGAACTAAGAGAAGCGATGGAATTCCATCACTTTTGATACGAGACAATCCGTTAATCTTAGCAGAGAATGATGCCGAAAAAGCTGAAGCTTTATCGGAATATTTTAGTAAAGTGTTTTCTATCGGTAATGAGGAACGACCAATGATTCATCGTGACCATGACGGCTCGCTGATGGATCCTGTAGTCATTGAGAAAGATACTGTTTTAAGGCTACTTCAGCATCTCAAACCTGATAAGTCCAGTGGTCCCGATGATATTCATCCTAGGATTATGAAAGCCATATCAGATGAAATTGCCGAACCATTAGCGATACTATTCGACATGTCTCTGAGACAGTCCATACTTTATAGAGACTGGAAAGACGAAATAATAAGTCCAGTGTATAAGGCTGGGAGTAGGGATTTAGTTAGTAACTATAGACCCTTTAGCTTAACTAGTGCAGTTGTGAAACTGATGGAGAAAATCATTCGGATAGCTGTTATAAACTATGTTGAAGGGCAAAATCTTTTCTCCAGGGCACAACATGGTTTTCGGAAAGGCCTATCTTGCTTGACAAATCTTCTCATTGCACGAGAAGAGTGGGCTGCGGCAAAGGATCGGAATGCTCCTGTGGATGTAATTTTCATAGATCTAAGTAAAGCCTTTGATAAGGTTTCACACTCTGGTCTTAAATTCAAACTGAAACGTTTTGGAATCCATAACACAGTCGTCGATTGGATAAGTAACTTTCTCCATGACAGGAGACAAAGGGTAAGGGTTAATGGGGCTCTCTCCTCGTGGGTACCTGTAAAAAGTGGGGTTCCCCAAGGCACAATCCTAGGTCCTCTTCTCTTTTTACTTTATGTAAATGAATTGCCAACTGTAGCAAAATCATCCGTTCTACTCTTCGCTGATGACATAAAGATTTGGAGACCCATACATAGTATGTCGGATAGAATAGTATTACAGGACGATCTTAGCTCATTGGTGGCATGGTTAGACAGGTGGTCACTAGAAGTAAATCCTAATAAGAGTGTAGTGATGCAGTTAAATAACTCTGATGAATCGTATGACTATACACTACGTGGATTCGTGCTACCCAAAGCAAGAAACTATAAAGACTTAGGAGTTATATTAAGCAATGATCTCAAAACGACTAGTCACTGTAAGGCTGCTGCTGCAAAAGGCTATAGGGTATTATGGTCAATTCGTAGGTCTTTTCAGTATTTAGATGATGAAATGTTTGGATTACTATACCCGATTTATGTGCGACCACATTTAGAATACGGGATTCAAGCAGCGAGTCCTTGCTTCAAATATGAAGCAGATATGCTAGAAAGAGTCGAACGACGAGCTACTAAAATGGTACAAGGTCTAGCTGGCCTATCTTATGAAGACAGACTGAGACACCTTAACTTATTTCCGTTATCTTACCGTAGAGTACGGGGTGATCTAATATTGGCTTATCGTATACTGAACGATGACCTTGGTATTAACATGTCTTATCTTTTGCTTCCGTCTAGAACCGATCATTTGAGAGGACATTCGAAGAAAGTTCAAAAACCGAGACCAAACCGTTTACGTCTGGATTTCCGTTTCTCTCACCGAGTAGTGAATTACTGGAATTCCCTACCGGAACACGTAATATCAGCACCGTCTGTTAATATATTCAAAACGAGATTGGACCTCCACAGTATTATAAACTGCAAGGATTAATATAGGTCGACAGACCTCCTATCCTTATTACTGAAGACTGAAGAACGACATGTTATGCTACCGAACAATGGTAGCACGCCACGTTGGAGTTCTAGAACTCTCCATCATACTCTGATTAGCTAGGACCCTTTGGCTATTTTTGGGCTTCTGGAGGCTTCGCTGAGGTTCTCCGGAAGCCGACTCAACAATTAACATGTGAACTGTGTCACAGATATCTTCCAGTTGCTCCTCTCACTCTCAAATGCTCAAGCATTGTTCGAAAAGATATCATTGTCAGATATGTTGCCACTACTTTCTTCCATTATTACACATGAAACAGCGAAATGTTGATGTACTTAACATGAATTCTCTCACTGTATTCTCTTCATGGCTACGGAACTCGTTGTGGTCTCCCTCGTTTCTAACCCTTCTCATTTGTTTAAAATTTATTTTCTTGTGTTTCTTGTTGAATCAGACGATATTTTGTTCCTGAATATAACTTCGTTTTTTTCGTTTTTCTCCATTGTTATTCAATTTACCTCATATGGCTGAACGGTACTTTTTTTCTTGAATTAGAATTATTTGTTTTTGACTGTACTTCTTTTTACTAGCGTTGAAATCATGTCATCACGATTTATTTAGCCGAATAAATTTTTTTGTCTTCTTGTCTTTAGGGATATTGTGCACCTATTACAATTGTCCAACCAATACTAGTAACGATAATATCAACGCAATCTGTGATGATTACGAGAAATACACCTGTGACAAACACTATAAAACTGATCGTCCTGATAATCTAACAGTTACGGTAGACGATATCATCATGAAAATGTGTGGGTTTCGTGTTTTTTCTAGTGGTTATATTTGTTGAAACTTGATACAGTTATAAGTTGTCGATTTCGTTGTAGTATGTGCCGGTTTTTATTGCTCCGTATGCTTTGTATATATACACTTATGATGGTTGTTGTTAAAAATCGTCATTTCATAAGCAGAATATGTTTGAAATTACACATCCCGGTACCTTTACTTATATTTAAAAACGAACGCTATTTCTAATTATTACTTCACCATGTAGGGTTGTTTTGAGTTTAACGAAATAGAGAATTGAGGCCGAAGCAACTAGTTTTCATGAGTAAAAAACTAGATGTCATACTCGCCTTTTGTCTTGCTGATTTTCAACTCTTGTACTGAACTCATGGTAGAAGGAATTTATGAAAACTGGATCCCAACATTATTGAACAAGTTTGTTGAAATGAGACGGTACGCTTGAATGAATATAATGACCAGAAAGTTAATGCTAACATGAGGGACATAATTTATAGTTTTAATAGCATGATGCACTGCAATGAATAAATGTGGGTTACCACAGTTCAACTCGTTAAATATCTAACATTTCCTTTAAGGTTTCATGTACTATTAACGTTTTATGCACAACTGCAATCAAAATCAAGCCCAGCAGTTCAAACAAATACGTCATTGTTTTCGTTCTGTTTTTTTCGTTATTGTGAATATTGTTATTTTGTTGAAAAACGAGTTAGTTGGAAGTCTTTCTTATTGTGAGCAAACCATTATCTATGAGGTATATAGTGATCTTCGAAGTAAATACACTTTTTTCTGTCTAAAAAACATGATACATCTTAAACATCGAATCGGGTAATAGCAAACGAATAGTACTGGTCAACATAATAAAATTACAATAATGAACTGTTCAGATTTGTATGACTGGATCTCACCAACTGAATCCAGCGTTCTCCTTCGCATGTATAAACTAGATGACTGATATATGAAATAGAACCAGATAATCATTGGAATCGAATGTCTTAGACACGTTCGTATGGAGCAGTTTACAACAGACCATCATGTAAATGTGTAGCAAATAGACAACCGCCACTAAAACCCATATGACATTCTCAATTAATGAATTTCTTTCGCTTTTAGTAGAAATAACGGAATACCAAGATGTACCGAATATCAAAGCAGCTGAAATGTTCTACAAAACATGCACCAAAGCCCTTTCGGTGAAAAACGAGTTCATTACTACAAAAGTTATTGATCTAATAGAACTACTTTTCAGTGGATGGCTGATGTCATCAGATGGCACACAGCAGTACGATCTCATAGAAAAATTTATTAGAAGTCGGAAATTCAATCTGACCGCTTCAATTTTACCATTGATATTTCAAAGTGGAAGAACCACTTTGTTTTCCTTGAACCTAATCGAAGAGGATAATTCAATGATTTATGTAAGATTTCAAACACCACATGTTTTTGATTATTTTCATGCACTATGTACTTCCAAATACATTGTTTAGATGCTCTGTTCAACTTAAAATGCTAGTGATCTGAAATTCGTCCGGAAACCCCTAAAATCCCTGAACAGGTTGTCGCATATGTCGATAGACATTGAATAGATTTTGAGCGATCAAGAAATTTCCCTGAACAACGTCTCATGTAGTCAGTTGGCGAGTTTGGCTACAGTACTGTCATATAGTCATAAACCTCAGTACATTGTTCTAACGGTTTGTCCTGCAGTCCAATTTGGCAGCAAAATTTAATTTTTTAAAGAAGGAGTTCGACTTCATTCTGTCGGTTGTTTCTATCAGTTTATGCAGCTTGTGTCGCTAGACACAGTTGAGATTCAGATAACTCGTGATGAACGAAATCAGCACAAATAACTGTCACTGATTCGTTTACCTCCAATTACTTCGTTCAATTCCTTATTTTCACTGACTTGAATGAGACGGCCACATGGACATGTGCAGTTACAAAACGAAATTTGTTTGCTGATATTTAAAATTGGTTCATCTTTGTTCGATAATGAAGCACCATTTTATTGTGCAACTGACGTCATCTAATTAAGCAGATCAGATATTTTTATTCTCTTCCTAACGTGCGAATAGAGCTGTCATACAAGTGCATAGCACACATTGAATGAAATATTTTGTAAATGAGGACTTGATGGTTTCTGACACTAACTTGTGTTTATGATACTTTTCATTTTCACTCCTTCTAAACGTGAATGTAAATTTGTCCTTCTAGATTGGACCAGGATCGCTCGATGCATTTGACAGGGAGAAATTAAACATGGTACGATGAAACAAACGTTCCGATATAGTCATTTTTTATTGCAGTGATTTGGAAAATTCTATTATTCGTTTAATTCGAATATTTCAATGGTTGAAGTCGCGAGTCAATCGAAGCTAGACCACTATTGTAAAGTTGGAAGCAGTGGATGGCTGTTTTTCTCTAGAATGGGACTCCTCAGTAACGCACGTCCCCGTGATTCGAACACAAGATCTATCGGTCTTGGAATCAACTACTAAATTACCATAATATCCACAAAACCCTTACTTGATATCAATTTTTATGTTTCTAGTTGCGATAAGCATCACATAAGACGGTCTATTAAGCTTATTTGAACGAATAATGGGAAATAGCTTTGAATGTCAGTAAAGGTGCGTTTGGTAAATCGAGTGATCGTTATTTGATATAGGTCACAAACTGAAGATATCCAGTCAAATTTCTACTTTGATGTTGGTTCGGGTGATACCGAGTGTTGATATCTGTATGTAATTTGCTACAGTTGATGAATTTTGGTCTGTTATTTTTCATTTTGCTTTAGCGACTTTCAGTTGAGCGTCCTATAATGTCTTTTATGTATGTTTTCTTAATTTTCTAATCAACTGATCAATTGTCTATTGTCTATCAGGGTAGGTGATCTCTGATAATTTACGGTCAATGGATTCGGAGTATCTTGAATAGACCGTTATTTATTTATATACGTACACACTTTTGCTTATAGCCTCGACAGTTATCCGAGTTTCTGATCTGCATAATCAAATCATTGTGAAATTAATGTTGAAACTTCCATTTTTGGTCACGAGTAACAGTTCCTTTGAGTTTCAGATCAACCTCAATTCCAGGAACCTTCTCCTTGTTCTGTTTGTTCGTCCCTTATTGGTGCAAGTATTTCATCTCGTACACAGATTCGTCATAAATTGTGTGTTTCATTTCACGATCTCACTTTCTCACTTTTGAAAGTTGAAGTCAACTCCTTGATAGCCATCTGTGTGTTGGTTTCTCACTGTGCATGTGATATGAGAATTGATTCACCTTCGTCGATCCGAATCATCAAACTGCATATCGTGTGATTTGTAAGCCTCCACAATCCAAAGAACTGCTAGCCGAAAGAGAAGAGATGAGATTCGTGAGTCTTTCCTGGAACTGTTCTTCAATTAGCATGGATCTGTGGAGTGTTGTCAATACATAATTTCATGACCAAGTCTGTTGATCGCGCTTCCTGTGATAGTGATAATCTTCTCTTGACCTCCATAGTGCCTAAGAAGATTTCATCAGGTTTCCATGTGCATGCTATCGAATGCTTTCTCGTAATCATTAATGGATGTACTGAACGTTTGATGTATCACCTGTACAACTGTCCAGTGATTTTTCATGACCATATTTTGTATGACCACAACCAGGCAATGATTTGAAGATGTAAAGGCTCCCATTTGTCTTCTGACGTCTTTCAAGAACGCTTCAGCCTTCTATTTACCCTAATATGTCTGTTCTGACTTCACGTCCATTTGATGGGTGAGACCCCCATAGTTTGTATGTAAACTTATAAGAGAGAAGGCTACCACCTGTAACTTAGTTTCCAGTAAAATATGCAGACAATAATCCTTGGTCATTAACGTTATCTTACACTGGTCCACGTTATGTTATGAAGCATTCATACGTGGTGTTCTTCATCACACTCATGGTGTTTTATCTCGGCATCATGATGGTTATGTGTCGAGTTGAACATGTGCACATGATATGCTGAAACATCTTAATCTATTTTCCATAGTCTCTGTTACTAACAAGACAAGAACATACAGCTAAATCCATCCTACTATCACTGCAGGAAGCGTTATACTTAGAGTCATTCGTTAAACTATGTACGTTTTTATTCGATTGAGTAACTTTGAAATTGATTCTTTTAATTTGAACCACAAATCATGAACGTTTATGTGAATGTAGTATATGATGATAAAATATTTGTGTCTTGCGCTTTTCATTGCAAACAGTCAGATCGAATGGACAGTGAAGTCAAAGATCAAATCTTCAAATTTTTAGAAAACGTAGGAGCTCTACAAACTAATAAAAATATGATGGACGGTGTTTTTGAAATTTACTCGAATATAAAAGATGTGAGTACACAGAGAATGATATGATGTGGTTTATTCACATTTGTATCATAAACTATTTACAGTACCTGGTAGAAGGTGAAATCAGTCGTTATTTACAAGAACATATATTCAGTTGGTGGAAAACCGTGGCATTTGGCCAGTGAAATAGAGGCAATTATCAGTAATCATCAGATGGAACTAATGATACAGAATTTCCATGAATACGTGAGCACACGAACACTCAATATCCTACTTTGCAACGACACAGTTATGTTGCTTGCTGATAACAAAACAGTAATCGATTTGGACATCGGAAATATAACCATGAAACTGTTGCGTTGTATTCACAAACGATCATAAATTTCAGATAGTTAAGTAGATTTGGCCAACACTGGTAATGTTGTAAGCACGAGGCTGTCTGAGAAATTGATAACACTGATCACGGTCGTATAAAGTCGACTGCATAATTAGATCAATAAAATTAATTGGAATATTGACTGCAGGTCTGTGGACCAGTCCAAACTAAAGAACTCCGAGCATTAGTGTTTACCTAGTTTTGAAACCATTCACAATTCTTAACCGTGATGTTTAATTTTCTTCTAATGTCATGCATCAAACAGCTGATACTTTTTATCGTGTGGACATATTGTATTAGGTGCAGGAGAAAAACGCGATTGATGAAGATGCACGTGTCAGTATTAATGATCTGAAGGAAATCTGTTCAATTGTAAGTTGAGAATGAGGTCTATTTTGCAGTAGTTTGCTAACTTATTGTCGTCAGGAATAACTTGAAGAATTCAATGTACATCACTACACTTTGCAAGTGTGTGAATATAAAGATTGTACGATATTTTCAAGTGTTTGAGGTAACGATCGATTGAAGGCTAGATCTAACTAAGATATTTGTGTGTAATACTACCAGTGATTAATCTATTCTATTAAAAGTAACTTCAATCGCACGAGATGTCTCTTTGAATTTGTAAATAAATTTCAAATTATTTATTTTGACCAGATCGATTGGAATGTTTTATTTGAAAATGCATTCGCGCATGAATCGTATAAAAATTTGGAAGTTTATATTCAACGTAAAGAAGCTTTGAGGAAGACTTGCAAATTTCTCTTTTCGAAAATTATAACAGAAAAAGGAAGAAAGTAATTTGCTCAAAATCGAGTTTAATGATTTCTGAAACAAGTTGATTTCATAAGTATCATGTTTTCACATCCTGTTTGCATTCGGTTGTTCTCATTCGTGTACACGACTTTCAAAGTAATTTACTATAAAACGTGCCCAATGCATGGGAATCTCAGACATTTGTCTGTGTTAATTAAAACAAATACTGTTTCATGTAGATATTCCCAATAACAGAATGATTCATTCACATTATTCACTTAAATCAAGATTATAACCGGTGGAATTCGAGTATTTACATATATCTTAAGCGTGAAATGGAACGACGATATTATTTTCATCAGAAAACATGATCACAATCTGACATGTATTTCATTATGCACCAATCATTTTGTTCGTATCCAACCTTCATGTGGATTGAAGGCGAACGATCATCCACGAAATCCTCTCAATCTTTAATCACAGTTGGTTTCATAGCGTCTAGGATGAATGAAATTAGTTGAAAATGATAAGGTTGTTGAATGAGCTGGATGAAATCACTTTGATCAATGTATACGTAGAGTGTATAAAAATGTCTATTATGTTAGTTTATTTCTCATCGAAGCGTGTGCATTCCTTACCTCGTCTGTTTGTTAAAGTTAGATGTTGAAATTAATCGACATCGACTTTCACGAACGACAAATACTGTCGATTTTAAATTGAATGCTATTTGTATAAGACTGAAGTACGTGGTGTTTGTAATGTTTCTTGCAGAGATATACACAATATGCTAGTGATAGATTTTCTGTACAAAATGCGACGTTACTTGAAGAAATATGTCGAAGACTTTTATCCTTCAGATATTGGTGAGTACCATTACTGGTTAAATAAACATAATTATTTATTGACTTATTATAAGCTGATTTTAAAACAAATGGAAGACAAATAAACATAATCGAATATATTTCAGATAGATGACGTTTTGTTAATTAATGATGCATCCAATAATGCATATGTTGACTCTATGTGAATGAAAGCCGGAAAACGAATCTGGACAAAGTAATTGGGAGAAATGGTCAAGCCGCCTGTAAACTAACTTGCAAATGAACTAGCCTTATATATCCAAACATGTTGCATGGTAAAATTTGTTTAAGCACCAAGTCTTTCTCTTCAGTCAGATTGTTCGTCGTTTCACATGTTTATTTGGTTTTCCATATGAGTTGAAGGTCATGACATTGTGTTATCATTTCAAGCGGTACCGTTTATGGAAAATATGCAAATACAGTAGACGAATTATGAACACCATGAACCATATGATCTGAGAATGAAGTGGGTCATGTTACTTTCAATTGGTTGCGATTAATATTGTTGAAAGTTGTCTGTTTATAACTTGAAGTATATGTAACAAGATGTTAATGTATTTCAACAAACATTTCAGATGAAAAGTCACCAACTTGCATTCAGGAATTGAAGGAGAATTTCTGGTGGACAATAAACAAGCAACACGAATATTCTAGTATAAGTAAGAGTACAAAAGATGAAGTGAGTTCCGATTTCAATAATTTATCAATTACCTATTGTTCATAATTGAAAATATGACAGGTTATTACAGGGACACGATTTACATATTGTGTTGAAGAAACAAGCACATAGTGTAAGGCGTAGTTTGAAAATTTAACTTTCTCTGTGAACATAAATCGGATTGTATGGTTTAACTCAGTCTATGTTAATCTACAGCTGGAACAATTATGAGATATGCTGAATAATAGGAAAGAGTGTAAATCAATTCTCCCGTTATTCATTATTTTCCTAACTACTTTACATTTATGTAATAAAATTCGAACAATCCATGATAAGGTTTATTCTTTTACTTGGGCACTTTGATCGTTATATCTGTTTATACTAAATAGGTGACTCAGATGTTTGACGAAATGAAGCACAAATTGACTGAATTATTGTCTAAAGGCTCATGGAGCAGTGAAGATGACAAACAAGAAGCTATTTCAACGGTTTGTTTAGTTTTGATATTGTGAATAATAACCGATTGTATTATTCAGGTTTCCAATATCAAAGTATTAATACTGGATTCAGAATCTTTGAGTGAGGGATATGAAGGCCGAGATAAAATACTCGAAGTACGTTCCTCAAGTGCAACACTAAATATTTTATTATTCCTTAACTTAATGATCAATGACTCAGCTAGATAGATAACTCAGTGTTTATGATTGAGAAAATATTAGATTTGCTATCGATCTGTTCATCATGCAGCTCATGTAATTATTTTCAACTTGTCGAAAGAACAGCATAAACATATATAGCTATATATCACCATAATTAGAAGTGTTGCATCTGTCGAGCTAGATGGTTCATTTGCGAAGCTTTATTGACTCATTCTGAGTAGCGTCTTCATTGTCCATTTCATCTAGACGTCTTAGTGTTTGTCTTAAAGATTTCAATGCTAAAGTTTCTTTTTTACGTGCTACACCTATTTCACTTAGAAAGAGTCTATTTCGTTCTTTAATGTAAGCTGTATTGCAAACAATCGTATTTTCCAGCCTTAAGTAAGAAAAGTTGGAACAAAGACTATTGAAAGACTAGAAGAGTATATAATGTGTCATCGTACATGTTATCAAACTGTCTTGAACCGAAACTGAAGTATCCAGCTATGATGTGTTAAGGTCATTTGGAAACAATCACAGACATTCATGAACGCCTATGAGTAAACGGATAAATTTCAAATATTATTTGTACATGGTGGAGATTATCGAAGTGATGTAAATTTGTAAAGACAAAACTTCAATTTCAAATGCGTTGTATTTTAGATATTTGTTCTTCTTATGGAGGTATTGATCGAGTTCTCAGTTTTGCGTATTCAGCTTTAATGACAAGTTTTCGAGTGATTTTGTTCACAATTCACTTTCGACGGTATTATTAAAAAACTGATTGACAAATACTTCCAAACATATGTGAAAAAATTTAAGAAAAAACTAGTATGAGTTTCCCAACAGTTAATGTTGCTGAGCATTAAGATTACAAAACCTGAAATGTGATTTAATTCAGTATTGATACTTTTAATCTTTGGTTTGTGTACTGATTATTCACTCAATTCTTGCTGTTCCATATAACTTATGTTACACTGCGTGTTCACTGTCGTAATTTATTATCTATTACGTCTGTGAAATACATTTTGATTTGAGACTTTTTATAAGAAAGAAATATAGAGAGTAAAAGAAACTTCACTTGTTCTCACACATTATTCTACAGAGGTGCCATCATTCAGAGAAATTATTTCAATGTGTCCTGGGTGACCTTAACAATTACCATTATTTAAGTAACTGAATTAAGCCAGTTGTACAACAATAAGCCATTAAGCTATTCCACTTAATATACCTCAAATCTCCGAACATATGTAGATCAATCTTCAAAAGATTGAATTGTTTATGGTTTACACAGTTGCTTGCTTCATGTTTGTCCAGTGTATGTTATTACTGTCATCAACAGAATGTAGATTATTGTGAAAATATAAAAAATGCACCAACCGTTTTGAAATGGACTATTATTTAGTATGCATCGTTTTTCATATAGTTCACATCCGATGCCAGTATTGTTTTAATTGATCTTCTAAGAAAAATTGATCCTCTATATCAGTCAGTTGGTCGTCGTTAATTTATGAACCTACAATGGAATTTCAATGAAATGACTTCTGCATCCAAAGAAATGAAATTTGATATGTTGAAACATCTGTACTACTAAGGTTTCCTTCATTTAATAAATCAGTAACTTTGAAAATAATGAAAAAATCATTTTAATTCTGTTTCAGAATAAACTTTCTGCAGATAACTATCTTATAAATGCATACTACTCAATGAAAGCTAAATTTCCAACATCATTGAAGGCCACTTCGCACGGATACGAATTGTGAGTTGTATTTTGTTACTATGGCTTTTTAATCACTACCCACTCTCATGTAGAATAAACTCTTTGTTCATAGAACAAACACCATTTATAGCATCATAATTCACAACTAGTTATGTTTCAAATAGTGATTTTATGAATAGTGGTAAAATGGATGACATCATTCAATTTATTTGACAGTCAACATTGAAATCCTCTTTTGGTTAGAATATTGTCGTAACACTAGAATAAAACGGAACGTGTTTGCCAGTATTTCAGTGTAATGTAATTGCACAGCAATTAGGGACAAAACTTCCGACGGTATAATTTATTTGATTTAATGTAATCAAATAAGGCGAATTTACAACTAATCAATAAAAGTGTAAACACATTTAATTAGGCGATCAAATATGATCACGGACGTCTATTGATATAATTAGATGGGATTCAATATCTTGCTATTTTAAAATAACTTCAGACGCATCCATCATCAGGAGGACAGTTGATCTCAAATAGTTGCATGGTATGATGCTTAAACGGTTCAAATTTCCTAAATTCGGTAACCCTACATGAACTCCATTCTATAGAACAGGATATTCACTGTATATAGCAACATACGATATATCATCAATAAAGAGATATAAAACCAAATTAGTTTAATGACAGGTTTACTCGTCCACTCAATTCTCATGATTTAAAAATAAATGTATCATTCTGAGTAAGCAAATGTTCTTTGCATATTTACAAATTTTTAGACCTGATTTATTCACTTTCCAACCGTCTATAATTGACGGAGGTGGTACAGTGGTTATGACTTCTGGGTTATTACATCCACCGTTTCTGAATACATCAAACTCAATATCTGAAAAGTATGGAACTCTCGGATGGCTTCTTGGCCGACAGATTATATCTGCAGGTATGTTTTAAGTTATCCGTTCCTCCCCTCTCTGATTCACAATGTTATCGCACTCAGGTACTGGGAATCGGTCACGAACAATTGAGAAATGTGTGTGTATGTGAACTGTTTCTGTGATCCTACGAGATCTAGAAAGACTGATTCCTGTGCAGGTCAGAAGTTTATATTCTGAATTCTTCAAATATTGATGGTGAAATATTCTCTTCTGAATGTGACGAGTAGAATTTATGTGTAGCTATTGTGATTTGATATGTCAGTTTGTGCATCTGCAATGTGATAGACAGTAAGATATTGATGAAAATATTTATTATCAATGGTTATAGATATACGATTGTAGTCCATCAAATGTTAACTTGTTGAGAGTAATGTTTTTCATTGAAGTGTTGTCTTATTAGCTAATAATATAAGGAACGCTGTTCACACATGATATGGTTACACTCAAATCAATTTCGAACTCTACATCACTCATCGTACTTAAAATTCACATTAAATTGATTCTCGAAAACTCAGTGTGATAAACGGATGTTTTTATTACAGCTTTCAGAGATAACCAGCTAATAGAACAAACGCAATATCAGCCGGAGTGTGGATCAACTGCTTCTACACCGTTCCGAAGTCAACTGTGTTGTTTATCAGCACAAATCAACTCTAGTAGACTTCAGAAAGAAGTAAGACAAATTCAAATGTTATTTTAATCCACGAATTTTCGAATCTTCTCACACAGTCTTCGGCATTTCAATTTTGAAGTTAGATGCCGAAAAATGGCTGGTAAACGAAAGGTGTTATTCATTCAAAGTTTAATGAATAATATGGCAATCAAATGCAGAGATATAATGCATTTGTCATATGTACATATTTTAAGATTGATGTATCAATCAGTCTTTCATCGAAATAGAAAAATGTTTGAAGCCAGAAGTGAATAATATTATCAATAACTTGCTAAAAATACCAATTTAAAGAATAAATATGAAATTTTGTTCAGTCGATACGTGAGTTCAGTTGAAATTCAGACCGAAATGAAAACACTTGACGCTTTGCCGCGTCTATGTTCTCACAGTTGTCGTTGTCAATTTTTGTGGAATTAGTGCCGTTAATATTAAAAGCTTGAATTGAGAAAACGCTTTAAAGTGTGTTTTCTTCACAATAGGAATTTATGAGGACCTAGTACAGTGTCATGTAGTTAGTTCAGGAATGGCAGGTGCTACTAGTTAATCTCATGTCAGGATCCACGAAACGTGATAACCTTTGACTCGCTTGATGTTTTAAGCTGACATTGCCACAATCAATTAACTTTTCTGTGTTTAACAATTCCAACAAATGCAGTGGATCACATATATGAGCGGTTGTTTGCGAAGAAGTGATCTGACAATTAGTTGTCCAATACTGCTCTAAGATACTCAATATCTCCTCCAAAATGAAAATAGAATAACGAAGGTAATGAATTGAAATCTTTTTATAGTACCACAACCATAAACAACTTGTCAATCTCATGAGTAACCATCTTGTATTTCAATCCACGAATAGCACTTAAAGCTTCAAAATGCTTTGAGTGTTTTTTCTGCTTAATCGTTAGATCTCGCTTGTCAAACAAATTATATAAGTTGAAACTGAAAGCGTGATATATATGTCACAGACGTTATAGAAATTTCATGTAATCTCAACTATTTTCTTACCAACTAGAATTTGGAAAAGTTGTCAGCTGGTATAAATGGTCTTATGTTATCTTTCGAAGTAAGTAAACTTAAATAACACAGTATTCACTTGATTCCTCAATCGCTAACATTCACAATTGACACATGCATTCTATGTGTTCTCTAGGTTCGAATTGGGCAATCTCATTGTTTGAATTTGAATTTTGCTGAATAATTGACGAATGCGATTTATATTTGATCACGCTTGTATTTCACATCAGGGTGATGAATCAATCAATCAGTATACCTCTTGCTGGTGTTTGAGTTATTGTGTAACACTACGAAATGATTATATATTTTTGATATCCCAGAGAGAAGAACATGAAATATTTTACTTTCCGTGATTAGTTTTGGGTGGTTCTTCAGTGTAGGTAAGCACTAAAGTGCTTATTCCGGGTGATTCATAGATGGTGTAGATAGGATCTATCATGGACGCATTGAAGGCATGGGGGAGCCGGCGGATGTCGGAAAAATGAAGGCAAAGGTGAAGGTCATGGGGAAATTACTGATCAGCAAGTCAAGAATGACTCTTCATGGGGTCATTTCTATGAACGTGGAAGGCGTTTTGGGATGTCCTTGATACGAATAAGCATGAAATGTAGTGTCAGATTCTTTGAGTGCAGAAGTGTTGGACAATACGGAGAGCGGAAACAAAACTCATTTAAACGTTGTATCATGCCTCTTGTTATTTGAAATGCACTTGTGATTGTCGGATTAACCAGTAGTTGTTCACTGTATACGAGAATGTGAGTTAGTGAGAAAAATTTCAGTCTGCATAGTGGCAATAAACGAAAAAGAATGTGATGAAATCAGAACTCTCACGTTGAAATTCAGAAAACAAGAAGCACGAGTGTGACAGAACACTTGAAAACAAGACTGAAAGAAAGTTCTGATTGCAGGAGGCACGGGAAGATTCAAATGGATGAAATAAGACTATGTATAGTTATTAAATAAACATTGTTGTATTTCAATCTACACACAGCACCTAAAGCTTCAACATGCTTTGAGTGCCTCATCCGCTTATTCGTTAGATCTCGCTTGTGAAAGAAATTATATAATTTGAAAATGAAAACTTGTTATACGTGTTACAGATGTTATAAAAAACCTCTCTCACCTACATTTGTCTTCGCACTGCCTTGTTCAACAGCTGGATGATTTCCAATATAAATTGCTCTATATTGTTCATTCACTCACATTTCTTGCAGACATACAAGGAACATTTAAGTGGAAATACTGAAAGCTTAAATGAAAGGAAGATGTTTTTTTCAGCATTCGCCAGAGTAAGTTGTGCAGACCGCTCAAATTTAGTTTGATCGGAAACTCAATTCACAATGATTCTTGTTAAACTTTGTGAGCTATAGTCATTATTGAGAAGAATATCAACACAACTACCTTTCAATCATCTTGTGAGTAGAAATGTTATGCACATAAGAGGCTTACTATAGAAATACGTTTGAGTAAACAGAGTATACGACTTGAAAAATGAACCGTAGTAGATCGGTAATATTTGAATGATGATGTTTGCTGATAAATCATAACATTTTTGCATATACGAAATCATTTTCAATTGAATAGAGTCACTGTGCGAACACAGATGCATTATTTTAAATAGTTCTCATTATACTAACAAGATTTTGTTGACCGAATAATACGGAATAATCTATAGGTGTCCCATGAGAATTTCTATCTGGAACAGAGATTGTTGAGCAGGTGAACAGAAAAGTTGAAACTTTCAATCGTCGCCAAGGTTCCGTTATCTCGCTTTTCAACCTAAATTGTCTCTTCTGATGGCTGAATCCAGCTACAAGAATACAAATAAAATACACTGAAGTTTGCAAATTCCCAAAGCAGACAGACGTACCGAGAATTCATGATTTCAGTATTTTGGGGTTGATTTTCAAGCAATCGGTGATAACAGGCTGAACTAGGTCAATCTGTTTCACTTTTAGCGTTTAATATATCAATCATAATGAATATTTTCATCCGTTGACAGCCCCGGTCCAAGATCTTCACCCCTATTTCAGACAAACAAGTTGGTGAAACATATTAGGCCCTTCTGGAGAGAAACAGGCCACATCGAAGCACGACACACCCACCGGGGTCAGAATACTTGTTTCTGCAATCCTTTGGAGTATACCAGATGACGAGCAACTCCATATGATACATACACCACTTTCGAAAAATTTTTGTCATTTTCCATTCCAAATGTAATTGTGCTATATTTCTCTGTGGGTTTGGTAATCGATTGGTGGGTGTCGGTAAGAGTGAGTGATTAGCTCGAACTCCACCACCAGGGTTACCGCTCACGTTAGTACATGAGTCATTGGTCCCACTATCCAGGAGGCACGACGCGGACGTGTGAGTCGGATTTTGCCTCCTGTCCAAGATCTAATAACACTATAAAAAAACAGTGGTTCACTATAATACAACAAGCATATCACATCTTACAGAACCAAAAATGAATAAGATGATTTTGGCGTAGGCTAATTTGTTTGAGTAAATAATAGATCACAAAGTGTTTCAGTGCGTCTTTTATCTTCATTTGTAGGAAAACACGGTTCAAAGCTTCTTTCTAGTTTTCTCGAAATAACTTTTGTGTCTCATGACGTATTGAAATGATTGTTAGTTATCTTCAATGAATTATAACTACAATGTAGTAATACACATTATTCATTATTTTCTTTTTTTGCATATTCCTAATAACTGAAGATGATGTGTGGCGGCTTGTTATCACATATTATTGATCGCAAATCACAGTCGTCTATCCAAGACTACGAATACATGTAATTCCTGTGTATTTTCATAATATGACGTTTAAAATATTGTCAGTCAGTTTCCGTCTGTCAAATCTATCATGTAATCCATAATTTTTACCCGATTACTTAATACAGCCAAGACTAATACTACAAACATTCAATTATTTAAACTGTGGCTTAAACAGTGCATATATGGTTGTGTGCGTCAACGTATGCAAATGATTAGCTTACAATCGTTCACATGAAATGCATTTCGTCCAGTATGGGACTCCTCGGCAGTACGCATCCACGAACCCGCCCCCTGCGGGATTCGAACCCAGGACCTACTGGCTTCGCGCGCGAGCACTTAACCATTAGACCACTGAGCCGGCATCCAACGGTGTTAATGTCTAACTTCAACCAATCCACGAAGTTGGAGAACCTTCTGGAGTTCTAATGAGAAGCCGTCACCAGTGGAGTTCAACCAGGTCTGTTGTGAGATACCAGCTCACTGAAGACATTGGTGTTCGATGGCGCAACTTCGTGGATTGGTTGAAGTTGGACATTAACACCGTTGAATGCCGGCTCAGTGTCTAATGGTTAAATGCTCAGGCGAAATGCATTTCAACAAATACTGTGTAGTGTGTTCATGAATGAATTACCACAATAGCACACTAAGTTTTCCATTGATAGTTCCACATATTTCATTCCAATTTTTTTCGTTTTCAGTGTGAACGATGTTGTGAAACACAGTCAAGGATTTTCAGAAACATACCAATGTGAAAGTGGTACGGTAATGAATCCTGTGCGCAAATGTATTCTTTAGAAGCAAACATTATTAGTGTGTGTGTGCAAAAGTATCCGTTTGTCTGTCTAATGGATTTCATAATGAAAACTATTGTAATGTATCACATCAATTGTTCAAATAATAAACATTTTAGTACTGTAAATGAAGTCGAATATTTGAATTTTACAGTCGGATCAATCGATTCTGACAGGTCAAATAAGGAGAACATTATGGTTTTAATCCAGTGGAAGAATTATTCCGAAATTTCGTTTCTACAATATTCATATAAATGTGCGGACCAAATAAGTCGTTTGTGTGTTGAAATTTCAGACGACGGTGTTCGTGATATATGTTTTTGGAAACGTGATGCGAGAGGCAGGAACATCACCAACCCTGTGATTTGTAAGAAGATTTGTCGCTTCACGAAAACAAAACGCTTTCCACATATTTGCATATAGGTAGGATGTGATTTAAAGCACAATTAAACAGGTTTCTGAAGTTTAACAATTGCCAAATTACCTGACTGGAATTTATGCAAATCATAGATACACAATGCCACTGAAGAGTATCATGATGATTTGTGGTGGACCACTCCTAAAATGTACTTTTCACTCAAACAGGCTCACGTTTAATTCTGCTAAGTAATTTCGTTTATGCATCGAGGAATTCAGTGAAACCAGCTTTGGACATTTCGTAAGAAGATCATGTGGTACTGAAGAGGTTCTCAAGAAATCAAAGAAGATTTGCAAAATATTTCTCTGGGAACACACTTCTTGTAAGCACTACAACTAGAAGCACAGTGCATTAGAATATTACGTCAGTAGGTAAACAAAAATCAGCCATTTTCCCCATCTTACAAAACATGTCGAAGTTCTTCTTTACACAAGAATCAATGATGAACGACGAAGGAGAAGACCAGTCAAGAATCTCTTAATTATGAAAAGAGAAATGCAGGTCACTTACTGAGAGAGATTATTAAAGTTCAATCAGCGTGTCGTTCAATTCGCTTCACAGAAATAATCTCTCAGCATAGCTTTACTATCTAAAAATTATGATAACTGATTTGTTGTGTAAGAATATGTAATACTTTATCCGTACATAGCCTATGAACATACACCAAGATCATATTAGCAGTTAGTGATTTTTGTGTTTTTGTGATAAGTGAACGGAATTTCCTGTTTCTACCGATACAAGCCCCTTGATTGTGAAGACCACTTGTTCTATTTGGTAACTTGCTGTCACGAGTCCTGGAGAGATGTAATAAGGTTCATTCCCAAGCAATAGACATTATTATTCCCACCGCTTGATTGTAACAATTCTGTTGGGAACATACAAAACTAAATAAATTCTGTCCCTAAACTAGTTAGATGTTCGTATGATTTGTTTGTTTCGTATATATTCTTATAAACATATTGCATCTTTTAGTAGGTAACCAATAGATTTACTGTTCAGTTAAAGATTTATGTTCTTTATAAACCCGTTGCAATAAAGCAATACGATTTCATACATTCTCATCAGAGTTAAACCTTAACTGCCACGTGTAACCGCAACAAAATATATCCGAAATGAGAACCATAGTGCACGTGTTAAAAAGTGCTCAGTGTAAAACCGGTTGCCTACATGAACGCAATTGATAAAAACAACAAACCAATGTACAAAGTTTTCACGATTTTGTCATATTTCCTTTCACCAAGATATATTTCCCACTATTTGTATATTCACTCCTATTACTTGCTGACCTTTATGACGTCATGAGCATGACTTTCAGGTACATATTTGAAACGGTTCCTCAAATGTCATGTAGATATTACACAAACACATAATACGTACTGTTCCAAAGTGTTGTGACCTTTTTGTAGCTACGCGAGTCCAAATCGCAACGCGAGACTAAATTTGAAAGTGACAGCTACCGAAGGCAGAACACATATTTGTTACAAATGATTTAACTTCAATTGATATTGTCATCAGCATTTAGATTTGTTCTGATTGTAGGATGGTAATGATTTCAAAACATGCTTAGCCACGATCAGAAGATTAGCGTGTTATTAACGAAAGTATCCATCAGAACCATGAAGTACCTGTACAGTAAAGAGATTTCCCTTGTACGTTTACAGGAAGCAGTTCGCTACGGTGTCTCGACAATTATGAACTCGATCTGGTTACGTCCACGGTATCATGAAATGAAAATAGAAAGCCAAAATGAGAATCAACGTTTTCAACAAATATTTTATGTATATTACACAAGAACATATTATGTACAATTTATGACTAGCATGATGTAGATTGAAAGTTAAGTTTGGTTCACTGAGACAACGATAGCCTTTAGGAGACGATATAATTTACAACTGTCTCACCAACAATGAACAGAATAAACATTGATTGTTGTTTGTTCGACATTCCTACTGAAAGCGAAATTCAATCACATTCTGTCAAGATTAGAAATAACATGAGCCACTTTCAGAAGCACATTTATCGAGGACGTTAGGAAGATTGAGCATGATGAAGTTTGTCCACACTTCATGTATTTAACATAATTTCACAGTTACGTTTCTAACAGCTTCCGAACTTATGGTGTAGGTCATTTTTATTTGTTGTGTGGTTTCATAAAATAATCAAACCAATTGTATTTTCTGCACTTATTATTGTAATGACTTTCTTTTAAATCTCGTAAAACTCTCCTGTTATTTTATCTCTCATGACCTTAATTTAAACACTGCGGTTTACCTGTTCGTCCACATTTGATTTCCCATTCTTTAACAGAGAGCAGTACGTGTTCATAACTTCGGTTCATCTGACTCTAGTTTCAGTTATCAGTTCTGGGGCCTGTGCTATTGTTGATTGTTGTATTTCACTTTCAGCATTGAACTTACGTAGAGCGTTTGCACCTGCTGAGCAGTCGAATCGTTTTTCTTCTCGTTCTCTCGTCTAACTTTGTTCATGTACGTCACAACGTGTGACTCTGATGCACTGAATAGTTAGTTATATGCGAACCGCCACAATGATGTAACACATTCCGAACCTGTACATCTTAAGCTTCTGTTTTCACTACCGGATAGTCTTAATCTCAAGTATGCGTGATTTCTGATGGTCATGTATAATGTTTCGAATTGTTTGAATTACAGTGTGAACTAGGAATCACAGAAATAACGTAATCGGATCAAGAAATAGTAGATAAGCACAAACGAATGTACTGTATTTACAATTCGAAATCAAGCATTCAACAAGTACAAAAGAATCAATAATTAATTCAGACATCACATCATGGTAATACAATCGATCATTTGAAAATTAACTGTTTTCATACGCCGATTTCACGTGTATCAAAATTGAGTGATTAGACGTTACTGTGAAATTATCAAATGTATTCTGAAGATCAATACGAAATATATCGCAGTTTACACTAGATTGATACTGTTCAATCCCACTTTTAATTACGGTAGAATACGATGCTTAACTAACGGCACTCGAATGTGCTGAACACAAGAGTCGTAAGTGAGAAAACAGGAGAAGCAGGCAAAGTGATTGTGGTGTAAAATCAAAAACGTACAGAAAAACATAGTGTTGGTTACAACATCTTTGTAATTCAGCCAGTCCTCAAGCATGCAAGTTGCGTTATCGTCCAACCGTAGTGTACGACGTCGGTATTCTGGAAAACTCGGTATCGATATAAGAAAACATGACTGTCATGTAAAATCAATGTGAGCACTTTATTTAAGTTAGATTGAAACAAAAATTCGGCGCTGAATGCAATGGATTGTTCACAATCCATGCTTTAACTAGGCTCAAAGAGCACGAATTCGAAGGTAACAAACAGACCGATATTATATATGGAAGCCCTGGGTTTATGGTGTGAATATATAATATAGTGTGGTTTGATGTGAGAAATAGTATACACATGCCATATCTGTTACATGAGACAGTCTAAGTACTAAAACTGTCATTTTGATTATTGACCTAAAATTTCAAAACCATGGTGTTCGTTCAGGAATGATATTAGTTGAAGAATGCACTTATGTATTCTCTTCAATGGACAAAACTCAGTGTAACCATATAGAAACAAATCTCTTTCTCTTATTGGAACATAGATTGGATTAAAGCTTGTTCCATCCACGATTGCGCTGATGAACGTTGATTGGCTAATTATTACGAAATCAGAGCTAGTCGATACTTGGAGAACACTCCAAAACCTTCTCATACAAAATCTATAAATATTCTAACGTTTATGTGATTGTGCTTCACACTCCCATCTACTCTTTTTATTTGGAATACAGTTTCCTTCCTATTCAACCGTGTTCTGACTTGGGGACTTCTCGAGAGATTTAGCGTTCAAGAATACTAAGCGATAGAAAAAGCTGTAATCTAATAAGACAGAATTATAACAGTTTCCGACAACGCGGCCCGATTCAATTCACTAGACCTTTCCTTCGAGTACGGTTACGTCTTTCAATGATTGTATTTTCTAATATTATACACAAACATTTTATTCAGCTTACAAGTTGTCAAACAAAGTATGGCAGTCCAGAATGTCGACACTCATCAAAAATTGTCGAATAGAACAATGAAAATGTTTATTGAAAGAATAAATAATTTGGAGGAATCAGGTAGGATTCAAGGATTGTGAACGATACTTTACTGGTAATTTCTTCGAAAATTTAGGTAAATATATAAAAGTAAGTACAAAAGTAAAGAGAACTGATCACGCTCTGGAAACGCTAGTGACCAGTCCTAAGGGAAACAGATATGGAGGACGCTTTGCAGAATTATGTTCTTCTGTGATATTGGTACTGCTCTAATAATAGACCTAATCCTAAAATTGTAGATTTGTCATGACGTAACTGTCTAATCTATAAGATCTTATGTGGAGGTCACATTATTATCTACACCAACTCACCACGTCGTAACAATGATCAATATATGATGAAGAACATAGTCAGACTAGAGATAAAACGATATATTTAATATGAATAAAAGATATAAGGTAAGATTCAGCAGGGGCCACACCTTCAAGGCAGAACCATGCCATCCGATCAACTTGAATTAACTCGATTCATTGTTTTCGCGCGCCGGTTACCAAAATAATAAGGTTCCTCCGGGTTTTCATAAGTTGGAAGATAAACCAAAAAGAAGGCAGCAGCAACTGATCGTGAAATACATGTAATAACTTCAAAATATATGTTTTTATACTTAACACGCTTCTCTATATTTACACAGAGCTACGACGAAATGCATCTTATATGTAAATCTGTTTCCACCGTCCAAATATCAGACTCTGAAACTTTCCGGTAATTAGGAATCATGACACGTTGATAGAAGAGCCGTTTGGTTTTCATCAGTTGACTGCTATAGAATGGACTGAGTTGTTGATGCTTACTTTCTGATCAATCTATGAGATAAGATAATTTGTAGCTCATTTGTATAGTTCCGGCGTACACCAACCGAGCGAGTTTTCCTTCTATCAATTCGTAAATGTAAGGGTGAACAGACAATAATTCCGGAAAAGTATGATGCATACTAATTTTGAGGTCATAACTGTAAAGTAATGTTCGGGCGATGCACAACACACTAATATTGGTCTATCAGATTGTCAGGAGAGCAAAACTCGAATAACAAATGAAATATACAGCACAAATAT